ATCATGCCCTTTGACCTGGAAGGAACCCCTTTAACCTGAGTATTACTCCAAGGCTGTGAGGAACTTTAGCTATCCTTAAAAGGAGTCTTCTATTGCTCATCATGTTACAGGGAAGAGCCCAGCACTTTGGGGGGGGGGGGGCGCGAGCGCCTTCCAGGATTAAGTGATGTGATTCTGTGAGCATGGCTCAAATTGAACTTTGCTCTTCTTCACTTGGTTTGAGCCAGAAAGTGCTTCCGCTCATGCAAGGCAAGGCATTATTTATTTTTTGCCAGTTCCCCTTACCTGTAGCTCCCCCCCTTGTGATATTGCATAGTGCTCCAGGAACAAATTTTTAGGGGGCACAAAGACTTTGGTGGATAGTAAAGGTAAAGGTACCCCTGCCCGTACGGGCCAGTCGTGTCCGACTCTAGGGTTGTGCGCCCATCTCACTTAAGAGGCCGGGGGCCAGCACTGTCCGGAGACACTTCCGGGTCAAGTGGCCAGCGTGACGAAGCTGCTCTGGCGAGCCAGCACCAGCGCAGCACACGGAAACGCCGTTTACCTTCCCGCTATAAAGCGGTACCTATTTATCTACTTGCACTTAAGAGTGCCTTCGAACTGCTAGGTGGGCAGGAGCTGGGACCGAACGACGGGAGCTCACCCCGCCGCGGGGATTCGAACCGCCAACCATACGATCAGCAAGTCCTAGCGCCACCCGCGTCCCAGTCTGGTGGATAGAGGAGACAGTAAAAAACAGGTGCTCTGTGTTGTGCAACCATAAGTGCTTTCTGCTAATGCACAGTCACCATTGGAGAAAACCTATTCTATTGTGTATTGTTATGGGACTGGGAGTTGGGCTGGACGGCCTCTCAGAATCCCTTCCAACTCAGTGAGTTTTGATCTAAGATTTCCCTGAATAGGTTCTCTGTCGGTGTAGGTTGCCTGACACATCCCTGATAAGAGTCTTGGAGTCTTATTAATAGTCCTGGTAAAATTGCCCAGTACCTTCTCTTTGTTAGGGAAATTAGCTGGTGGCTCTTTATAGCTGGCCTTAACAACAGTTGAGGAACTGACCAGGGACTGTTCTGGGAGAGATAGACATTTTAGAAAAGAGAACATGTCCGCCTTCAGCCACCTCCTTCCGCTTACTGGAGATGATGTCAACAAGCTTTGCATGTGAATAAATTGTATTTTAGAGAAAGGTAGATGAAGAACAGGTAGAAAGCTGAACTGGCACTGGACATATGCTCTGGATGACTTCCATAGTTGCTTTTCTTTCTGCCCAGAGATTTATTAGTTATTTGGTATGTATTTAGTATGCTGTGCCACTGAACTCCAAGCTTTCGTATCTTGAAGTCCCATTAGCTGGGACAGCTAGTTGTCAGGGATGATAGGAATCGGTTTTCCAGATGTTTCTGGACTACAGCTCCCATCATCACCTTGGCTGGTGAGAGGATGAAGGGCAGTATACAAATTTAAATAAGAATAAGAAAAGCAGCAGCAACTGTCCCTGGGGATCCGCAGCTCTAGAGTTGACATCACTACAGTAGCAATTACATGTCCTTGCAGAGTCTACACAAGACAACCTGCCAGAAGTCTTGACAAGGAGACCTGCAAAAGTACAAATCCCTGGGCAGCCCATATTGCTTTCACAGCTTGGATAATAATCTTTGTTTTATTATTTGCCACTGGCTACTTTCATATATTCTCTCAGGTGGCGTGCCAACCTGCTCTCTCATAAGTTGTTCTCTTCAGAACGAAACCTTTACTCGGCTGCCACATACACAAAATATCTTGCAGTGAGAGCTCATCCACAAGATAATCCCAAACTGCAGAAAATAGGCCACCCTGAATTCCCAGAGGATTTTGTCAATATGCATTCACCCCATAGACATCAGTATGCTTTTAGAAACTTGCCCGAGGCTGCAAAATTATTTGCACATAGAGTAAGGCCAGTATAGACATGGCACCATCAATGTAGCTAAACCATTTCTGTGCAGCATTCTGCAGGGCCAGTGTTTTAAGTAAACTGTCGTTTGCAGCAGGTCATAGCAGAAAAAGGCTTCTCTACTATGTGCTAAAGATGCTTGTCATGAAGGGGTTGAATAATAATGAGACTGGAGAAGCCAGTTTAAGTTGTAATTTCAGCTGAATTTGGGGGAACCACTTGAAGCATCCACTGTGTTAAGCTCCTTCAACTGGTTTTGTTTGATTTGCTCATTGTAAAACAGCTGAAAGTCTGTAAATTTTTGATAATAAACCTGATTTGCAATGGGGGTTGAATAATTTCGATTGCAACTGTAGGCTGCTTCTGGTACTGGAGGCAATACGTTTAGACTAAACTAGATGCCATTGGCAGCCACCTTCATTAATTGGTCAAATCCCTTTTAAAGGTATTTAAGCTGATGGTCATCACTGTATCATGTGGTAGAAATGGCCATAATGTAACCTCACAGGGCTATTGTGAGATTCAAATGGGGTGAGGGAGAACCATGTACACCAGGTATAAATGTAATAAATTTAAAATAAATGCCCATACACACATTTGTGTGATCATGGTCAATACTTTTGTATCTTTATTTGTGCCATTTTAACAGTTTTCTAAGAAAAATGTTGGAGCCTGGATCAAGGAAGCAGTAGCAGACTCAAGGGGACAACACTGAGCATTTTACTGCCCTAAAACTCTGCTTACCCTTAAAGCTGTATCTTCACGGAGAAATATAGACAGGAGGATGACATTGGGAAGGTAAAGTTTAAACATGTAAGAGGCGTGAAATAAGCAAATGAGGGCAGATAGGAAATGCAAGAAGAAGACTGGAAGCAGGTAACGCTAATCTGCAGAATCAGTGGGTGGGTGGGCAGAATCAATTAATTACTTAGAACTGGAAAGGTGAAGTAATCCTCTTTTCATTTAATTTAAATTCCCCTTAATCCAAATCTTTTCTCCCTTGGGTAGGGCAGTGCACTTAAAAAAATAAATAAATCCCACAGTGCCTCCTCACTTAGGCAACGGACGTATTTTGGTCACCTCAGTTTGTAGCCGTGTGAAGCGAAGGCGGAATGTGCATCACACAAATACGACTCCTGTCAAAAGTGGACAGAGAACTTGGTTTTGCAACTTTCTGTCTCTTATTCTGCTTGACAGGATAAGAAAGCCAAAGATGGCACCAGCTTTGCCTTGCCTTGCGTTGGCATAAATACCTGGCAGTTATGTCTACTTCTTTTTTAATCCTTAACTGAGATTATCTGTTTAGGAGAATGATCCACAGTGCTTTCATATTCACTCACTCACACACTCACACACACACACACACAGAGAGAGAGAGAGAGAGAGAGAGAGAGAGAGAGAGAGAGACTGTATATACCATTTACTTTAGTATGTTTTAGAAATCTGCTCACCAATTCAGAAGAGCCATTCCTGATAGTGACAGCTCTAGGCTTTGGAGGAACTTTGGGCAAGAAACTCCATGGGCTTCACTGTCTCACTAGGACCACCTCCTCACTAACAATTTCACCAGCTGCAGTTACTGCCCCTCATCATTGCTATCACTGGCTTCCTTGCCAGGCAGACAGCCAGCAAGGAAGTGGGCAATGGACTCTCAGTAGGTACCCCAAAATGCTGACTGCTGATGCCAAGCCAGATCCAGAAGATCAAAGTTCTTTAGTCAGCAAACATATATATTGGTGAACCATTTTTCCTGATGATGAAGGGCAATTTCTTCACTGATATTTTTTAAAGGATGAATCATTCAAAATTCCAATATCATAACTAATGTTAAATTAGATTTAGAGAGGGAAATTCTCACACCGTTATTTTTAAAAAATGAAATATAATTTCAGTATTCTGTTACCAGCTACTGAGCATGCCAAGACAAAATTGTTTCAATGTATTTCACCTGCTTAACCTGAAACTAAATGATTCCTTCTTACCTGTGTGGTAAAACTTTCCTGAAAATCCAAGGTTGAAGGTAAAATTTGCAACCTGAGTGCGTAGTAAAGTTTGAGTCTCTAGTAAGGCCTGAAACAAATAAGAAATAGCACGCATTTAGGAAAAAAAGCCTCTTTTTTAAAACTGATGTTTCTTGGGCTATAGCATTTAGAATCCTTGCAAATATGATCATATATCAGTGAATTCCACTTCCCAACTCTAATCTAACCTAGGAACAGGTGTAAGACTTATGTTAAGGAAAACTAACATTACAGTTTAAAATTTATCGTTAGATTTTATAAATTTGCGTTGCAATCACCTGCATGTTTATCCAAAAGCAAATCCCACTTTAGTCAACTGGAATTACTCCCTAGTAAGTGTGCTTAGGATCACAGGCTAAGTTCAGTGACTACAGAAACTCCTAGTGATGTGGTGATGACAGAACATCTGGATCTGGTTCACTGTTTGAATTGAGGTCTGTGTTTTCTCCATCTGTGTTTCAAATTGCATTTGCACTTGCTGTATGCACCAGAGAGGAAGCGGGGTTAACTTCTGCCAATGCACATTAACTGATTTGTTTCCCTGTGTCTGCAACACTCCCCCTGCCAACTCCTATTCAATGAAGTGGTCATTTGTGCAAAGGGACCTTCCTCAAAATTATCTGATGGACTGGATTTAGGTTGTCAATTTGCTATTAATGTTTTAATTTTATAGTTCATGGGTTGCCAGCACGGCACCTATGGATACAATGGTGTCCTTGATGTCTTCTCCTGAGATGCACAAATCTCTGAACCAACCACCCCCACCCTTACTGCCATGAGGCCATGAAGTGGTTTGGGGTGGTTACCTTTTCTTCCCTTGAAAAGTACATACAGCTGAAGGAGGTAGTTAGAAGGATGACGGTCTTCCTCACTTTTTCTTTCAGTTCTATCTACTTTTCAAGGCTCAGATCAACTCTGTTGCAGTGTCCAAAGGAAAGTGGCACCCACAGCACTCACTCAAAAATCTTCATGTGCCCTAAAAATGTTGGCAACCCCTGTTTTAGGTACTCTGAGATGTAAGCAGTTGCTAGATTTATTAGAGTTGGTCAGACTGGATAGCTCAGTTGGTTAGAGCATGGTGCTGATAATGCTCTAGGTCAGTGTTTCTCAAACTTGGGTCTCTGGCTGTTTTTGGACTACAACTCCCATCATCCTTAGCTAGCAGGCCCAGTGGTCTGGGATGATGGGAATTGTAGTCCAAGAACAGCCAGAGCCCCAAGTTTGAGAAACGATGGTTGTGGGATTGAACCCCATTTGGGACAACTGTATTTTCCTGCATTGCAGGCGGTTGGACTAGATCACCCTCAGATCCCTTCCAGCTCTATGATTCTATGAATCCCATTCAATTATATTTTACATAGGTTAATCGCTGTTCCTAAATTAGTTGCTTGCCAGTCTACTGAACCATAGGAGGAGCAAAATGTATACATTTAAACTGAATCAATGTGGTTAATTTTTTTTTATGTGTTTACGGAATTTGTATTCTAAAACTGAATGTAATTAGTGGGTGCGAATGCTTACATTGTCCTCTGTATAAAATAAATAAACCACACTGAACAGCAAATATTAGTATTAAACTCTCCCTTCACAATGCCCCCCCCATCTATTCTAAATTAGATGTAATATGTGCTTAATACATTATTTATCTGTTCTTAAAGAAAAGTATTGGAAGTCAGTAGCCAGCATTCAGGGAAAACAATCAGATTAAAACTGGTATGATAGGAAGCATATGGCAGCAACATCCCAGAGGCATACTCAGTGCTGCTATAATATTTAAAGTTTGGGGATGTCATTACTTCTAACAGCAAGCTGGGGTGGTTTAGAAGCGAAACACGCACACGTACCCATAAGGGAGGCATGTCTACATACTTAAGTGGAGTCCCTAGGTAAGTAAAAGTGTGCAAGTTTATAAACTAAAATAAAAAAAAGTTTTAACAAGCAGCCACAACCCACCGTAAGAGCCTGACAAGAATCTGCAAATATTGGGACGTTGCAATGAGTGTTAATTTTTAGAAAGAGCAATAGTAGGGGAAGATGGAATTGGTTTGCTCAAGCACCTAACAAGCTGAGAAGGCATATTTCATGAGCAGGTAAATTAGGTTGGGAAGGATGTATGCTGTAAGATCAAAACACCCCAGAGATGTTTCAGGAGGAAAGAAAAGGGAAAACACACCTTTTCTCTTTCCTATTCTCTACAACCCCCTTTTCCTACTGCCATAGAGTTTTAAAATGCTGAGGTTCAAAGCTGGCAGCCAGCCTAAAGTAAGTGGGAATGGACTGAGAAGTATAATAAAATTATGCTTCTCGTAGACTTCAAATATGAAATCATATTTGTTTTTAGATACTTCTGCCTCTTCCTCCACCCATCCATGAGTTTAGCCATTTCCCTCTCATTGAAACTCAACATAGTTTCAGGATTTTTTGTATATATTTTTTTTTAAAGAACAGAGTCTTTCAAATCTGGTGAAATAAATATTGCTTCTCAAGGAAAGTATAATCAGGAATCTTTGCATTCAGAAAGGCTCACATCAGAATGCCTAGTTTAGCAGTTTGTATTCAACAAAGGAATCAAATGAAGCACTTCAGTCGCTCAGATTCTTTGTGGAATTGTTGGTTTCATTATATTAATTGCTTCTCTCCTTTGTTCGTAGGAGTATGAATCTCTCTTCAGTGTCCATAGGATAAGTCTCTTTATTTATTTATATCTTGCCTCCACTCAGCAGCATTTTAGATTCATCCGTGTAATTACATTTTGTAGGTTTGAGTTGCCTTGTCTTTATTCTTCATAATTGTCACATTTATTAAGGCAGGAGTGATATTTTCCCAAAATGTCCTTGTTAATTACAACTATCTCCTTCATTTGCATAATAAACTTTTTTTGGAGGGGTGGGCGCTAGTTCTCCGGGAACATTTCATGGCTAATAGGAAGCAATTTGCTTTCCTTTATTAAGTACATTAAAACTTCATGCCCCAGACATCATTGACTGTAAACATTTGATTCTGCTCAAATTTAATGCACCAAGGCTTTTTGCTCTGCCATATTAGCTTTATTTATGTGCTGTGTTCTGGATTGTTAGCTACTAATGAGACTTCAGCTCTTATTGCTCTAAGGCCTGAAACACTAACCTCATTTTAATGAGATCATTATTTGCTGTCTTCTGAATGGAAGACAACAAATTTGCCTTTTAATTAAAGGTCAAAACACCTCTAGCTAAGGAGAGTGAAGAGGTTATCAAATCCTTAGAGAAACCAGAGGAATAGCCTTTTTCTCTCTGCCTTACTTCTGTGCCAAGAAAAGGCAAAACCAGACTAGGTCGGCAATGATTCCTCTGGCACAGGAAAGCTCTAAATATAAGCTAAGTGATAACAACACTAAAATGTGGGAGCTATGGGTCCCGAGACGTTGTAAAAAACAAAAGTCAGTAATTAAAGAGGCTTTGCTTCTAACCCAAAAGGTCTGCCTCGATCAATACCTCTGTTGAAGCCAGATCCCTTGTTTGCATGAGGAATAGTTTATAAAGGTGGAGAAGACAGATGCCAGATTAATTGAGTAACCCCCCCACCTAATCTCATATTTCTTATCAGAAAAGGGAGGCAAGTCTAATCAATAACCTGAGCCATTTTAGTATCACATGCATGGATGTGACTAATTGAATACTTATTTTGTCTATGTTGTAAGGATATGCAGAGAGATATGGAAATGCCATGGAGACTAGAGCTAGTCTGCACATGCCTCTCTTTCTGTGTGTGTGCCTGAGCAGCCAGGTTTAATGGCTCAGTTACAATTACAACCTTAAAATCTGTTCTACAATGCAGCTCTCAAGAAGGGGGGAAACTGAATGACAGAGTACAGTGGTACCTCGGGTTACAGACGCTTCAGATTACAGACTCCGCTAACCCAGAAATAGTACCTCTGGTTAAGAACTTTACTTCAGGATGAGAACAGAAATCGCACGACGGCGGCAGTGGGAGGCCCCATTAGCTAAAGTGGTATCTCAGGTTAAGAACAGTTTCAGGTTAAGAACAGACCTCCAGAACGAATTAAGTCCTTAACCCGAGGTACCACTGTACATTTATATTACACCTTTCTTCCATCATGAAACTCAAGGCAGTGATTGGTAGCTGGCTAGCACCACACAGGGGTGAACGAAGCATGAACGGTACCCGGGGCAGGTAAACCAACTGTATGGTGCATGCATGGCAGCTCTACGTACGGCGCATGTGCGCGCCATCTGTACAGTGGCGGGATCATCTGCTCGCGGCTGCAGCTGCCGCTCGTACGGGTGGTTAGCTGACAGCAGCGCAAACATCTGCGGGGCTCTGCACTCTCCCTCTGCCTCACGCGCCCAGCCCTTTGCCCCGCTCCATCAGAAGAGTCAGGTGTCAGGTGTGCGAGAGAGGGATAGCTGGGCAAGTCACTCTCTCTTTCCCTCTCTCCGCCCACACATGCCACCCCCACCCCACCCCACCCCACTCCACCTGAGACAGCGGTGGTGACTCTGAGGCGGCGGCGGTTAGAGCAAGAGCAGATGTGGGCAGGGATGGTGAGCAATGGGGAGGGGTGGCCTTTGCCGCTGCTGCGCCGGCTGCTGCTGCCCCTCCGTCCTTGCTGTGGGGGTGAAGAGGCGGCAGCAGAGGGTGTAGCTGCGAGCGGAGGATTCTTTGCATGCGGCTGAGGCAGCGCGATGGCACCCCTGTGAGGTGCCCTCTTGTCACCCTGCCAGAGATGGTGCCAGGGGCGGAGTGCTCCCTCCCCCCCCTTTCCTAAGCCACTGGCCACACATCCCATGAGATCAATGTTATTGAGCTCAACTGAGAGGGTGCATGTGGTAGACTCAAATAAGAGGCTGGTGCCCTTGTGCTGAAAACAAAGGGAAGCACACTCTGGGTTCGTTTCCAGTCCACACTCCAGAGGACCTGGAGCCTCTCGGAGATCATGGCAAAGAAGAGAGATCAACCTGGCTCATCCACTGGACAGTGAAAGAGCAGCTGCAGAGAGCTTGCTTCCCCTCTCCTGACACCTTGAGAGTAGCACAATTGAAATGCAGGGTATAAACTTTCTAAATAAATAACAACAAAGAAGAATAACACATAAAGAGCCTGCTGGATCAGGTCAATGGTTGATCTAGTCCAGCATCCTCAGTTGGTTAGAACATGTTGCTGATAACACCAAATCAAATCAATCTTTATTATGGTCCAGAGACCCAACAAAACGTTACAAAGCAATGCACAATTCATAGATAGCACCAAGGTTTCAGGTTCGATCCCCAATGAGATGGCTGCATATTACTGCATCACAGGGGTTTGATGATCCCCAAGTCCCTTCCAACTCTACAATTCTATGATTCTATGATCCTGTTCTCACAGTGGTCAGCCTATGCGAAGCCCAGAAGCAAGACCTGAGGACCTGGCTTGTTCACTCTTATAATTTGTGAAGCTAATCAAGAGCAAGACTTTCCTTTATAGGAAGCCCTTGTCTGTGTTCTTGGATGGTTGAACGCTTCCAAAAACTGAGCTTTACATGTACTAGTTCTAATTATATTTATATTGTTTTGTGACTACGTGTTTTCTTTTATTGAACAGATTGTCTAAATGTTTTTTGTAAGATGCTACAACAGCTCTAGGGAACAGGGTGTACACTTTAGTAGTTTGGTAGTTACTTTAAAACATTTTAAAAGCCCCCCCCCAATATATAATTAAAATATGTGCCAGAATCCACAACTTCAGATTTTTGGACTATCATGGTATTCTTCATGCTTTTTGAAAACTGTGGAGTGGCACAAATAAAAAGAAGTTTTATCAGCTCTTTCCCATGTTAGCTGTACTGTAGATGCATTTCCTAACATAGTCATATTTCTAAAACTGTCTTTATTCAGTAGAGAGCAGTACTTAATTGACCTCTTCCTTAATAATAATAGATGATGTACAGACTGGAAGCATAGTAAAAAATAAAACCACATTTTCTCCCAGCTCTTCACATTAGAAGTAGTAGTACTGGTACCAATAAAATGCCTTGTGCTGCTCTTTTGTACCTCTAAGAATCCGAAAACTGTCTGGAATCTAATTACCCATAATTCAGGGTACCTGCCTGCAGCCATGCCTCTATAGGTTACCAATTTCTGCTGAGCGAGGTGAATGGTGTAGCGTGGAAACAAATACACCAATTACTCATGAGTTATTGACCATCGGTATTGCTACTACTGCAACACCCTATTTAGTTGTTTGCATAAAGCTGCTGATAATATCTTAAAAATGAATGACCAAGAGAAAAAGTTTGCCACTTTTCTAGGAAAACAAGTGAGATATATGAGGTAGGAGCCTTTCCTAATTAAGAATTGTAGACACCCAGAGTTAAATATTACTTATGGAGGCTGGGAAGAACAAACTACCTTTTGGGGCGCAAACTCCTACAGGTAACTCAAAATACGTTTTCATTATTTCGTCCAGTATGGTCACTATAAACAGTGATGCAATGATATTCTATATCTGGAATGGAGTATTGTCTGGCCCCTCCCACTGATCCCAGTAATATTCCTTCATTTTCAGTAACAGGGTCATTTCTTTTAAGCAAACCAGAGACTCTGGGTTAGTAAAGGAGAATCAGGATGATTGAAGATTGGAATTCTGGGACACAGAAAAACTGCTGGTTCATCCAGAAATACATAACCATCTATTTCACATGGCTGAAATGAATGGAAGAAAAGGGCATACCTCAGGCCTGAGACTCTAGCGCACTATTTTCTTCCTACTTGAGACTTGGCATCACTTATTGGCAGTAATAGCAGTTACTACAGTGTATCTGGAAGGATATACTGCTAGGTCTCAAATCTTGCTGCTCAATCATGTCAATGGCATTGCAGTGTCCTCGAGAAGTAGTGAAACACTTTTGATTGTGCGGTTAGACGTCTCACAACCCATCCATTATCAAATCCCTTTTATACAGGGTTGGATAACTTCACTTTGGAGAGGTGACAACAGAAATCCACACTAGGAAGCTGAAGGTAGGTAAAAATAAGCCTTGTAATGCGGTGCTGGGGATTTAATAGCTATAGCTAGTTGTATCAATGATGACATAGCCTAGTAAGCTTATCTTAATTGAGGCTTCATTAAACCATGAAAAGAAAACCTTGAAATCAGTTACACCCTTCAGCAGAAGAAAAAATTGAAATGTTAATATTAAAATAATAATAACTTTTCAAGGAGAGAAATAAAAGCATCAGTGAAAGGCAAGAGGTACAATTAAAACCCAGCATTTAATGGCCAGGATACAAGCTCTGAATGTCATGCCTTGTGTGGATACTTCTCTTTGCATCCTGCCTTTCCTGTGGACACAATGCATTAGATAATGACTATTGTGGGTTCTAGAGTTCTTTATGCCTAATGCTCACTGTGCCATTTTAACTAAGCCCTTTGGAGCCATCTCAATAAAATTATATTTTACTGTATGCTTGGCACTTGGTTTGAAAAGCATTTTGAGAAGATGCATCCTTGAAAAGTGGCATACAAATTTATTAAGGGAAAATAAAAATTAATATTACGCCAAATTGTATAAACTTCATTATCTTAGCATCCCCCACCTCCTTTCTTTTAGTGCTGGATACCACCATGATGAATGGAGAGCTGGACCGGCAGGAGGAACTGCTCTAAGATAGGGACTCCCCAACTGGACATTAATATATTTGGGATAAATAGTAAAATAAAATAAAATAAAATAAAATAAAATAAAATAAAATAAAATAAAGTAAAGTAAAGTAAAGTAAAGTAAAGTAAAGTAAAGAAGTAAAGTAAAGTAAAATAAAATAAAATAAATAAAATAAAATAAAATAAAATAAATATTTACTGTTTTATACATGTTACTTTTTTGAGATGCTGTAGAACATTGAATTCCCCTCTTTGCGTCCTGAAGGAGAGAGTAAGAATGTGCTAGAATCCCAAAGGAAAGCCAGGTGAAAATGTTCTCTCAAAACATTTCTAGTTGGAGAAACTGAAGAAACTCCCAGTTTCTTCAGGGAGAGAAGAAATTATCCAATAAGTTTTCAGAGGGGTGGACCCTCACCATTAGCAGTGGTAGAATTACAACTCCCTTCCTTTTTCATAAGGGCCAAGTAGTAACAGCAACTGGCTTGAATGCCATTTTGAATCCTCCATAACTTAAAGTCTTTCCGAGGGAAGGGCAGTGGGAGGATAGCTGCCACAAAAAGCATGGCGAAGTTTTGGAGAACATTCAGCAAAGTAACCTTCCTTTTAAAGCCGGGATGGAGGTAAAAGAAGGAAAATGTCACAATTTTTCTCAGAAATTCATTGTCCAGGAAATTTTGGCTCAGCTATACCCTTTACCTCAGAAAGCACGGTGGGAACCCCCTGGGCAAATGCGGACCCAGACTGCAGTACTAATTGGGCTGCCCTGCAGCTGCAAATATGATACTTGCCAATTGTTTTGAGAGCCGACTGAGCAAATATGTGTATCTTTTTAATTGAAATAATTATAACTATGGAACCATTTTTATTCCAGAAAACAACAGCAGCAGCAGCATTGTGCTCCAGGAATCAAAAGCTGGGGAAACACTGATTTAAATCATTATGAAATATTCATTATTTATAATTAAAACGTTATTTTGGGAGGAATTACAACCACTTGTGCGCTAAATATAAATGAGATTGTCAGAGAGGGGGGGGAATCATTTTCTAACAATACACAACCCACTGCTTTTCCTAGTTTGCCATCTGCTTAGTTTTCCACATCTGAAAATAAATCAAAATGATGAAAATGAGTTAATGTTTTATACATCTAACTTTTGAAAGCTAAAAAGAAAGAAAGAAAATTCTTCAGGCCATTTACTGGGCCCGCTAGACTTGTTTTCAGATCCACTAAAATATAATCGGACCTTTCCTCTCAATTCTTTATTATTCCTGCAAATTATTTATTTGGGTAACCTTGGTTTGTTTGTTTTTAATCCCTTCATCCTCCGTTGCATTTATCTCAAATGCTTGAACTCAGTAATCCTAATTCTATGCTCAAAATTTACTGCTTACGAACCAGCCACAGTGGGAGGTACATGGCCTGTAGTGATATATGTGTTTTTAGCACCTCATTTCTATTGCACTATGTGTTATGAGAGAGAGAGGGGAAGTGACTAGAAGAGTGAAGACATCTTCAAATCTCCAATTTTCCTGCTGTTGTCATGAGAGGTTGTGCTTCCTGTGGACTAGATTCACCTAACAGGATTCTCAAAACCTTTAAGTAATAGACTCTAGGCTTGTTCTTTCCACCACTGTTAAGTCCAAGGTACAAATTAAACAAATATAGGAGGTCTTCCTTTACTTTGTCCTTTGCCAGATAGTTACAATGTTGCAAAATTACTGGGTAGTATCCAACAAAGTCACTGTTTGTGGAAGAACTTCCACATGCACCATGACACTTCCTCTTCCTCTGCCAACATGTCCCCTAAATCTGTTCTGGGGTTTCACTCCAACCCTCTGAAGCAGATTCAGGGTGTGTTGGGTGGGAATGTAATAACAATCATATTCATTAGAGATATATGGTATGAATGGAGGAATGAATGTAGGCCTGTTTTTAGGCTGAAGAACACCACTCTAAAATGGAGTCTTATTAAGACTTGTGGGACTGATAAGGTTGGCAAGCGAAGTGAGGAAGATGTGCTGAGCTCATGAGACTTGATGTACAAACAGGCCTATAACAAAGGGCGGGTGTTGATCAAGATTGACTAATGAAGATGTGAGGAACTACGTGATAAACAACTTGGATGAGGAACCGATGGCGGTGACTCACCAGAGCCGGAATGTTTGGTTGAAAGTATATAAAGTGGAAAAGTGTGCCAGATTCCCAGTGCTGCAACCTGTCCTCTTGCCATAGCCTGAACAGCTATTGGTGTAGAATTGGTGAGTATGATTGAGAATGTGTGTGTGTGTGTGTGTGTGTGTGTGTGTGTTAGGGACTGTGATTTTGATGTGTACAATAAAAGTGTTTTACTGAGTTGCAACTCTCTGGGTCTACTTGTGTTTCTTTCTCCTAAAGAACCCCCTAAAAACAGATCCAAAAAGAACCATTAATTTGTAACAGGAGAGGGAGAGACAAAGAATTCCCATTACACAGACAGAAGTCCTTGCGCTAATGAGATTCCTTTGTTGGATACAACCCACTGACTGTGAAGAATGCATCACATTTTCACAATAATGATGTCCAATTTTGAACAGCTTCCTTAAAAAAAAAAAGCAACATGAATTATTTACATAACTGCCAAACATTTTCTCAGAACAGAGTTGGCTTTAGGACTTTGTGAGGTGAAGCAGACCAGAGTTCTCTACCCATATAGATCATAGTAACACCACATTCTAAGTACCAGGTTGTATCAAGATGGCGTATGCTACTTTCAGTAGAGGGCAATGCAAAGCCTAAAATAAAATGGCAGCAAACATCCTGTGGTGGTGTTGCCTGAGAGGTTTCTCCAGCTTCTTCATGCCTTCTTATGGGGCTTGCTTTCATTCCAAGGGCCCCAATGGTGAATCCATCTTCCAGGGCCTCTGAAAATGATCATGCTACTGAAATATTTTGTTCACCTAACCTCAACAACCACAACCACTAAACACTAGATGGGATCAACATGCAGCTGTATGCACAAAACACATAAAGGTGACCAGGACAAATCAGTGTTGCTAAAGGAGACTCCATGTCCTGCAGTACTAGTCTTCCTGAAAATCCTAAATTCTTTTTGCACGTCTTTTAAAAGCTCTGCCCCATCGCTGTTTCCATAATACGTTCATCCCATGCTAAGAAGTCCTCTGAGAACAGAACAGACATCTAGTTTGCAATTTAGGAACCTTCCTCATCCCCAGCAGTGACCTACTGCCACCACTCCTCTTTCTGCTATGTTAGAGAGGGAAAATCTTGCACATACAGCGATGTAAGCACAGGCTACTGCTGTGCATTAATGTTTCCTCTATCAAGAACACAGGGCTGAAGAATAACTATGTGGCTTAGTGGTCAGAGTGTTCAATTAGATCTTGGAGTTCAGATCGGGAGTTCAGGTCTCCATTTTAGCCATAAAACATGCTTGGTGGCATTGTGGCAATTTCAGCACAACCTGTCCCACAGTATTACTGTGAGAACAGACTCTCTCTGTGTGTGTGGGGGTGGGGTGGGGGTGGGGTGGGGGAACAAACACTATGCACAACACCTCAGGATGGAATGGCAGGTTATAAGTGTAATACAAGACAAAAGCATAAAGATGGAGGCCAAATTCAAACCACATATAGGGAAGTTGCTCAAATAAGAGAGGAGAAAAAAAGAGATGCGAAAGTAAGACATCAACATGGGATATTACTTTGATCCTAGATGAATTACTAAAGGCAGGCTTTTTAAAAAAAAAATGAAGCTGCTTTCACTGTAATTTTCCCCACAGCAAATATGCCCTCAGCTAATTACATAAATAAAGCATTGGTGTAGCCTGAGCAGAGAATAATATTGATTTTTTTTATTTAAAAAAGCCCAGGTTTTTTTATTTTTAAAAAATCAGTACCACAGTCTGTTGTTACAGCCTATTCACAATCTATTGAATCACATCTAGAGTTTTGTTTTGTTTTTAATGTGAGACACAGTGATACTGCAAATAAATCCCAGTTGTTTGATGCAAGGTAAAAAAAAGAAAAGGTATCCAGATAAATGGCAGAAATTGCAATCTGTCTCCAAGGAGTTGCTAAACTGCAGAATATTCTTTTTCCTATGACTAGGCTAAGTGCTTTTCACCCCTTACACATTCTTTTTCAGTGAAGGATGCATTTTCCAGACTTATTTCCTTACTGTGGCATAATACATGATGAAGTCTAATGTAACCGGCAAGAGCTGTAAGTGGCATCAGAAAAATCCCTGAATCAGCCAAAAGATTTTCCATAACTACCAAAGCTTTGGGCCACTTAGATAGTTTTAAGTGATACACTCAGCAGTTTCTAAATGCAGAGACAAGGGCAGCAACTCTCTAAAAGGACAAAATGGAGGCAGTCCCATCAAGATAAGGTCTGAATGGATAAACTTGAAATTGCCACATGTGTTTAGTAGAATCTCTGGGACAATATCAACCTTGCTAAGATCTTCAAGCATTGTTTGATTTGATTATGCTCTGCAAGCTGCAATCCTGCACCCACTTACCTGAGAGTAATATCCGCTGAACACAATGGAACTTATTTCTGAGAAGACGTACTGAGAAGACATTGCAAGCCAAAGTATAAGTACCTGAGACAATAATCTGCAGTGACCATGATGAGACATTGCTAGCACTGCACTGTGAATGAGCTATGGCCATTTACTGTATTTCTATTTTTACACAAGACATGAAGAGAGACTATCATGCCCATCTATGCATGGTCATTTGGGAGCAAGGGCCAAACATGTGACAATGCATGACCCCAATCTTGAACATGCTCCTGTTCTACTTTCTGCAGAAAATCATCAGCTGCCTGATGCTATTTGTGAGCTTGTATTGCATCAGGGACCAATGGCTGATCCAAGAGCAAAACTAAACACGATGTTACAAATGTACTTTAGGATTGTAACAATCTAATAAACCTGCAAATAGCCATTGGAGAGACCAGTTAGGATTGGGGTTCCTGCAGAGGAGAAAGGGGAATTAATAATGCTTTCCCCTTTGCTGCGGTTTCTATGAAAATTGCTTCCACCCCCTACAGCACATGACATGAACTCTCATTGGCATCAACAGATGCCATGCCAAATTGGGAAGAGGCCACATGGCCTTCTGCCAACACGGGGAGGCCTGACAGGTCCCTCCCCCGATGCGAGGAGGTCTGGTGGGGCCCAGCCCCTCAAGATTGGGGGACCCAGCCCCATACCTGCATACTTGTGGGAGCTGAGTTGTCCTTAGCCCCATAAAGTTGGTGCCTATGTCTCCTTCTCTCTCCCATCCAGACAACAAAGAGGCATTATCAGAGTTCAAGCACACAATCAGGCCAGGCAAAAACATTCAAGGTACCAAGCAGGCAGGACCAGTGAGGTGCGCGTGTGGAAACAAAAGCCAGAATGCATGGAAATGCTGTGTATCTTCCCGCCAGAGTGGTACCTATTTGTCTACTTGTGCTGGTGTGCTTTCAAACTGCTAGGTTGGCAGAAGGTGAGACAGAGCAATGGGAACTCACTCCATTGTGCAGATTCGAACTGCTGACCTTTTGTTCGGCAAGCCCAAGAGCCTCTGTGGTTTAGACCACAGCGCCAGCCACATCCCTGTTTTAATGTAAGGTAAAGCAAGGAAATATAGTTTTGCGGACCAGGGGATAAACATGTCCAGTTAGATCCTGTGTTGTACTTCTCTTTTAATCTAGGAAGACCATGATGAGCTCTCCTGGTGTTGTTGGTTTGCTTATTCAATTTGCATCCCATATTTCATTCCCAAGGGGCCCATGTTTTTGGATGACAACTCCCATCATCCCTGACCACTAGGGAGTTGGAGTCCAACAACTTCTGGACTACAGGTTCCCCAAACCTATATTAAGGGAGTCAGGGCTGCAACTCAATAGGCCAGGGGTGAGGAACCTCTGGGCCACCGGCTGATAACACCCTTTTAACACTGGTTTATGGGAATGGGTTAGAACCTCAGAAATAGTGAGCTTACATACAGCTGTCTGTCGCTAAGACTTCAAGGCCAGTGTCACAAGGTAATTGTGTGGAAGAGGTGAATGCCCATGGTCTAAGTTCCCATAAAACCTGGATTGGTGGGAGCTCTTGGCAACCAGCCAGCCAGCCAAACCAAGGTCAGCATCTATTTCGGCTTTTGACAGCATCTTGTTCCATTGCTCAGCCTAATGATATTTAAGTGTAAGTGTTTATGTTAATTAGCTGGATAAGTTAGGGTTTGTTTACTTACCTTCTGAGCTATTGTAATTATTTGGAGTTTTTCCCTCTCTTGTAGAGTTTTGTTTTAGTAAAGTCTGTGTATGATTATATGAAATTTGGTCTGGTCTGAGTTCCTGAACCCTTTAATTTTGACCTTGCTTTTCCTTAGAAACATGCTTCTGCACCACATAAAGATATGATGGTGGGTTTCATTAGTCCCAGGATTTACATGCTTCCCCTTCTTTGTGTACCCAAGCTACTTCTCAGCTTTCAGAAGAAACCTCTGCCAACTGTTAATGGATATCCAATCTACAGTGGCCTCCCAGAATTATTTACGGCACCTCTGGGTTGCTTTTATTTCCGGATAATGTAGTAGCAGCATGTTTCCAGTTACAGCAGAAATAATGATGAAAACAAAAGGGAAACCTTATTCCCTCCCCTAATAACAAATACAGTGAAATTACACTTTACAACACTACAGTGGTGCGTTTATAGCGCTCTTGGATCTCAGGATGAATCGCGCAGCAAACACATGGCAAGCATCTGTAATATTCCAGAACTCACACTATGGTTGGATTACTATTTTTACAAAAGGGGTTGGGGAGAGAGAATAGGAGTTAAATTTATCATCAATCTGATACTGCACAACCTAGTTAATTTGCAGTGATATTGGGAGAGACTTGCTGGGTGAGAAAAATCAGTGGGAGAGATATGGGGGTGGGGTGAAGTTAGCAGGGAAGGTAACGTGTTACAGATATATTTTATTCTCATTTAAATATTTTCAGTGTGGCATTCTAAATGTTTTGTAAAAGTGGTATGAATTTCCATTGCATTCATAAATCCAGAATGTTAAAATAGACACAGGCATTTAGGTTATAGCCAAAGACATTATAAAGGAAGCACATTAGTACCAATTTGACTCACTGATGAATGGTTTTTAGTGGAGTTATATAATGCCATCAGAATACTACTTTTTAATTCTGTGGTTGGTAGATTATGTTGTGTGGGAGCAATGGAGGTGGGGGTGCTTGATGGGGTAGTAAAAGCCATATCTTTGCAAAATTTGGCTCAGAGTTGCAGCTAATCTCAGCCTCAGTTTTGAAAAGGATTTTTGTGAGAATTGAGTAACCAGATTTCAAATCTGATAAGTGCTACAACAGTGCATACTGTGGCATAGTTGTTTAGCATATGAGCTGTTTGTTGGAAGTTCCCAACTTGGGCCCCATCTGCATTATAGATGAAGTTGTATCATATCACTTCAAACAGCGATTGCTTCCCCTAAAGAATCCTAAGAAATGTAGTTTGTTAATGATATTGGGAGCTGCTAAAGGTAAAGGGACCCCTGACCATTAGGTCCAGTCGTGACCGACTCTGGGGGTGCGGCGCTCATCTTGCTTTATTGGCCGAGGCAGCCAGCGTACAGCTTCCGGGTCATGTGGCCAGCATGACTAAGCCACTTCTGGCGAACCAGAGCAGCGCATGGAAATGCTGTTTACCTTCCCGCTGAAGTGGTACCTATTTATCTACTTGCACTTTGACGTGCTTTCGAACTGCTAGGTTGGCAGGAGCAGGGACCGAGGAACGGGAGCTCACCCCATCGCGGGGATTCGAGCTGCCAACCTTCTGATCGGCAAGTCCTAGGCTCTCTGGTTTAACCCACAGTGCCACCCGCGTCTCCCTGTTAGGAGATCCCTATTCTCCTTTCAGAGCTACAGTTCCCAGAGTGGTTTACCAATCAGTGCCTCCTCCCAGGGAACTCAGAGAATTGCAATTCTGCCACTGAAATTAATGGACCTAATTTAGCCATTTTCATTCATTTCAGTGGTTCTACCCTGAGTAAAACTTAGTAGACTGACTGTGTGTTTTCTCTCAAAATATGCACAGTCAAACCTCATTTGTCGAATGTAATCCATTCCAGAAGTCCGTTCAGCTTCCGAAATGTTCGACAAACCGAGGTGCGGCTTCTGATTGGTTGCAGGAGCTTCCTGCACTCAAGCAGAAGCCATGTCAGACGTTCGGCTTCCGAAAAACGTTCGAAAACTGGAACACTTACTTCTGGGTTTTCAGCTTTCGGGAGCCAAAACATTCCAAAATGGAGGTGTTTGGGAACTGAGGTTTGACTGCATTTAAATGTATACATAACTGAGATGTGTTTTTTGAGATGCTGAAACTGCACCCCAGCATTCAGGGAAGTGTAAAAAACT